AGCACACACACATCTAACTGATTGCATGGTGGAAAGAGACAAGGGCAGTATCAGCAACTAAAACCAAGCCAGTGGCTGGCTCTGGAAGAGACTAGCAGATGCACGTATGTGTGCTCAGGTTGAAGCTGAAGAAAATTAAAACAAACCCGTGAGAGATAAAAATACAGCTTTAAGTGCATCCCACCTGAATTTCTCAGAACATCTCAAGAACAGATTTGATGCATTGAACACTAATGACAGAACACCTGATAAGTTGTGGGGCGACATCATGAACACCATTCATGAAGAAAGCAATGTGTCATTAAAGAGGCAGGCAGGAAAGAAAAGATCAAAGGACATGTCAGGAAAGACTCTGAAGCTTCCTCGTACTCAGAGTAGGTAAGGCACGTGGAAGAAACGATGAAGTTAAAGGGCCGAGTAGAAAACTGCCAAGCGCAGCTCAGGAAGAAAAAGTAAAATGTTATAATGAAATGTGCAAGGACCTAGAATTAGAAAAACAAAAAGGAAGAAAGAAAGAACAGGCTTGGCATATTGTAAACTGAAAGAACTAACGTTTCATGAGGTAGCATATAAGTAAGAAACAATGGTACTGACGGAAAAAGTTGAAGCTGCACTGAAAGCATTAAGTGAAAACAAGGCTGAGGAAAGGATGGAATACTAATTGAAATGTTTCAACGAGCTGATGAAGAACTGGGAAAAAACTCCCTGGTTTATACCAAGAAATGTGGAAGACAGCTCCTTGGCCAACTATCTGGAAGAGATCCATATTTGTACCCATTCCAAAGAAAGGTGGCCCCCAAATGCTCAAACTATATCACTGATAGCACATGCAAGTAAAGTGTTGCTGAGGCTCACCCAACAACAGTTGCAGCAGTCCACTGACAGGGAGCTGATGCCAGAGGCCCAGGCTGTATGCAGAGGAGGGCGCAGAACAAGGGATATCACAGCTGATGTCAGATGGATCTTGGCTGAAAGCAGAGACTACTAGAAAGATGTTACTTGTATTTTATTGACTAACCAAAGACATTTCGCTACATAGACCAGAACAAACTATGGACAGCCTTGAAAAGAATGGGAATTCCCGAACATTTCATTGTGCTCATGCAGTACCTATATATGGATCAAGAGGCAGTTGTATGACCAGAACAAGGGATGGTGTGAAATCAAGAAAGGTGTGTGTCAGGGTTGTGTCTTTTTACCATACTTATTTAATCTGTATGCTGAGAAAATAATCAAGAAGTAGTATTCCAGATGGCAATCACTCCATTAACTTGTCTCAAGGCCTCCTCCAGTGGCTATCTTTTTAATGGTATCCATCTGGGAATTCTGCTGCACAAATCATACGGAATGTGGAAAACAAATAGTAGCAGACCCATGTCTGGCATAAGGCCAGAAGATAAGCCCCCGAGGTTGGAATTCATTCAAAATTTGACTGTAGAAGAATTGCCTCCTCAAAGTACAGTCAACCTTAATGACATGGATGGAGCAAAGCTGCTGGGACCTATGGGAAACAGAAGGATTTCTCTCCTTCTGTCTCCCCCAAATATATGCCAGACTTAGCTGCTTGAGAATGACTCTACACTTGGAGGTCATCAGGAGTCAATCAGAGGTCATTCTTCCCAAGAGCTATCAGCCATCTAGACCAAGGAGACACCACTGTTTATCCCACAACAAGAAGGGGGCACTCCCTTCTGATAAGGATAGTAGTTGTCTGTTTCCTTGTAGGAGACACCAGAGAGGTCAAACCCACCCAAGGATGACCAAAGTTAGGCTACCATCATGAATCTAGAGTCCGCCCACCTTGTCACATGTATACCCCTAGACCTTCCCATTCCTATGGGCACACCCCTAGCTCATTCCCTTCCTGTTACACTTATGCCTATCATAGATCCCCTTCCTACAATGTGTACGCCTGTTGTACTGCCCCTTCCTGTGACGTGTGGTAACCTGTAATCATGTCCCCCTAATGAGATAGAACCCTTAGTTAGCCATAAAGAAGTGGCTTTCCCCGGCCCTCGCGCCCGGGGTCTCTCCTGCTCTCACTCCCGGGGTCTCTCCTGTGAGAATCTCGTGCCACCAAGCGGGGCTGAGGTGAGCGTGCTACCATGAACTGTGTCTGACTCCTTTATTCCACTCTCTCCTCTACCTCTCGTGCTATGACTTCACTGTAATCTTTACTTATTATCGCTGTACAATTGCGCCTACCGGACCTGCGATGATTTGTGGGGGACCCTCTTCACCCCACATATTACAATGAAATGTGCAGACGCCTGGAGTTAGGAAGCCACACAGAAAGAACACACTGAGTATTTCTCTAGCTGAAAGAACAGTAGGGGGAAAAATCAAACCAGAATTGCAGTACTGAAGAATTCTATGGGCAAAATACTGAATGATGCAAGAAATAGCAGTAGAAAACTCCAAATATCTGAGTTAAGATGACCCCGTCGTCAGACAAAATACCATTTGGAACAATTAACATTTCCTAGACTACTGTGCTGTAAAATTAGATATCAATAATAGGAAGAGCAAAGGGAAAAAACAAACCATGGAAACTGAACAACACAAAGTTTTAAAACTACTGGATAATTGATGAACTAAGAAATGAAATTTTAAGATTCCTTAAAATAAATGAGGACCAAAATACATCGTCAATACCTTTGGAACACAGGAAAGGTAATAGTCATAGGGTAATTTATGGGAATAAACCAAATCAAAAACCAAATTCACTGGCATCGAGTCATTGCTGACTCATGGAGACCCCCTGTAGGTTTCTGAGAAGAACTGTTTACAGGAGTAGGAAGCCAGTCTTTCTCTTGAGGCGCTGCTGGTGGTTTTGAACTGCCAACCACACTGGATCACAGACCAACTCACAACCACTACACCACCAGGAATAAACACACATGTGAAAAAAAATAACCAAAATCAAATACCTTAACCCAGCCTCTTCAACAACTAGAGCAAATGCAATAAAATAAATAAATAAACTTTCATCACCAAGAGAAAGTACACAAATGAATCAGGGCACAGAAACACAACAGGAAAAATTAACAAGACAAGAAGTTGGTTCTTTGAAAAGATTAACAGAGTTGATGAACTGGCAAACTTAACAAAGGAAAGGAAAAGGAAGATGCAAGTATCAATGCAATGAAAGGAATACAGTCACTGTACTGAAAAGAACTGGTCTACACGCAACCATTTCAGAAAGGAGCATACGATCAGGAGTTGATGGTACTGAAAGAAAGTGTCTAAGCTGCATTGATCCCACTCTGCAGACAGGCAAGGATCAACATCAAAAGGTAACAAAAGCACTTCTTCCGCTGCCCTTGCCCCTCCCACCCTCTATGCAGAATGACCAGTTGCTGTAAATGAGGGAAGTGGCCCCAGCAATAGACGGGCTTTGCGAAGCACCATACCCCAAGCCATACAGAGAGGAGGAGCTGTCACAGAGAGGGAGACAATGATAAGCGAAGATCTGCCACCCTAAGAAGTGTTCAATGTTTTGGGTTTTGGGGGTGTGTTTTTTTGCAGAGTAAGCAGTGTGAGCAAAAACTCCAAATACTGAGAAGAACTGAGAAAGTTATCACCTTGGACAATTCCAATGTCCCAGCCAAAATAAAAATCAGAAGATAAACTAAGAGAATATAAACGAGAATATAAAAGAATACAGGGGCGTGAAAGCACATCCAGAAGTTACATAATGAAAAAACCGATGGATAGAATGTATCAGCAGTAACATAATTAAAGATTTAAGGGAAAACATAAGTAATTTAAAGAAATAAGAGAAGCCATTTAAGAACAAAAGAAGGATCGAAAAAAGATGCTACAACTGAAAGGGACAATAACTAAATGAAAATACAATTAAAGAGCGTACTCTCAGATTTATTGATCAGATAGAAGAATCAGTGAATTGTAGGATAAGATAGTTAATACTACTGAGGCTAAGAACAGCAAAAAATGACATCTCATCAAAGCTGAGTGTTATGGATTTATAGGACAATAACAAGAGATCTAATAGATGCATCATGAGAATTCCATAAGGAAATGAGAAAGGAGCAGCAAGAATATTTGAATAAATAATGATAGAAAATTTTCCCAATCTGAGAGGGGCATGAGTTTACAAATTGAAGCAGCTCAAAGAACCTCCAAGCAGAATAAACCCAAAAGGATCTGTGCCGAGATACAATGCTACTCTCAAAAGGTAACACAAGAATCTGAAAATAGTGAGAGATGCAAATGTGAGAGATCCCAAATAAGGTTAAATGCTGATTCCTCTCTGCCCTCCCCCCCTTTAAAACACTGGAAGAGAGAAGGTAATAGTATATGTTCTTTTTTCCCCCCCTTTAAAAATCATTTTATTGGGGGCTCGTACAACTCTTATCACAATCCATACATAGATCCATTGTATCAAGCACATTTGCACATCCGTTGCCATCATTGTTCTCAAAACATTTGCTTTCTACTTGAGCCCTTGGTATCGGCTTCTCATTTTTCCTCTCCCTCTCTGAACCTCCTCCCCTCACTCACACAAACCCTTGATGATCTATAAATTATTATTATTTTCTACAACAGTTTCTTTGTTGTACCATTTTTCTACCACTACCCACCATTCTACAACAGTCCCCCTTCCTGGCTGGAATTGAAAATTCCAGCCAGGAAGGGGGACTTCTAAGGGCCACAGTCTCGAAGGAGCAACCTGGGGAAGTAAATTTGCTCTCTTCTATAATTTTGATTCTGTTCTACACTTTTACACTCTATCCCAGATCTTTTAAAGAAAAGGATCACATTAAAAGAAAGGGTACAATTAGAATCACAACTTACCTCATTGCATTTCTTAACAACATCTGGCCCAGGTAAGGCACTAAGAAGAGCTATTGTAAGATAACGATTTAGCAACTTCCCCAATCCGAGTTCTTGCAAGATCTTATCTGGGAGGAGTCCATTCCAAAGAAGAATGTTGCGAAAGAGCTGAAATAAAATACCAAGTAAATTTGTATCCTTTTCACAAAGGAGAATTGTATTAATCTCAAAAAAACATAAAAGCCAATCAAATTCAATCACTTCATACACATGAGAAATTGGACAAGGCATAAGGAACACTAAAGGAGAATGGATGCATTTGGATTGTGGTGCTGGTGCAAAACAGTGAAGGTACCACTGACTGCCAAAAGAACAAGCCAGAGTATCCCTTGGATGCAAGGATGGTGAGACTTTGTCTTACATACTTTGGACATATCCCTGGAGAAGGACATCATGCTTATAAAGTGGACAGGCAGCGACGAAGAGGAAGGCCCTCAAGGAGATGGATTGTCTGTGTGGCTGCTACAATGGGCTCAGCACTGGAACAACTGGGAGGGCCATGCAGTGTGTCGTCCTTTTGTGCTAAGGTTGAAAGTGACTCAATGCCACTTAGCAACAACAAGCACAACAAATTCCAGACCCTAGCTTCCTCTCCCTAATCCATTCCCTCCCTGAATACATGATCAAAAGGCCGCATGAAGGACTGCCAGCAAAGGGACTGCCAGTCGCCAATGTCTGACTTTGAGAACTTTATTTCACGGCTATGTAAAATTAACATGTGAGTTTAAATATAACTTGAATAAAGTACTCAAAATAATTTCTAATAAATATTGCTGTCTTTTTCTCCAATAAATCCAAACTTTCAGTGTATTTTATGGCGTTTTCTACTTTCTTTCCAGTACAATAATACTTTTACCATGAAGCTACATGCAGTTTTACTAAAATGCAATTCTTTATAACTTTCATGTCAAAAATCGTGTTGCTCCTTCTTCCTGGCAATCCACAAGGCAAAGAATATATCACCACGGAACGAGTTTGGCTGAGTAGCCCATGATCGTCAAACTTTCTCTCACTCTCATTGGTGACATGTAACAACCTGATCTTCAGTTTTGAAAACCCTTCTCCAAGCTTCCCTGAAGCCACTCTTCTAAAGCTCCTTTGGAGAGTTCCACTTTTTCTGTTCACTACGCATGTCAGTGTCTCCCGATTCTTTGAGCTCTTTTCATGCTTTGCCTCATCGCCTCGGAGGCTGCCCACTCATGACCCTGGTGCCTAAGTGGGTTGACTCCCAAGACTCCAGCTCACATCTGCTCCCCGAAACTCAGACTCCTCGATCCAGTTGACTGAGAACATATGTCATTTGGGTACCTTCAACTCACAACGTCCAGAGCAGTTCTCAACATCCTTTCCCCTTCAAATCGTTTCTTCTTCCTGTATCCCTTCCAATATCTATAAGGGACACTATCATTAGCTAACGTGGCCAGCACCCTATACTTCCTGCATGTAATCAATTTGTCGGCATGTCCTTGTAATTCCTCATCCTAAACATCATTTGAACACATATTTTCACCATTACCACTGCTTCTCACTAACCCGATTACTTTATTCTTTATCTTTTTCAATTAGGGTTTGACCAATGATGGCCAAGTACACCTGCTGTCTGTTTTGGTAAATTCCACGAACTAGAGATGACTTTTACATTTTTAAAGTGGCTAGAAATAAAATTGGCCGTAGGGTATTTTGTCACATGTGAAAACCATATGGCATCCAAATGTTAGTGCCCTTAATACAATTTCACTGGATTCACACTTAATTATGGCTTCTTTTGTACCAGTGAGCAAGCTGAGCATCTGTCATAGAAATCACATGGTCTGCAAAAACTCAAAACATGCACTACATGTTCCGTTACGGAACATGCCCGTCGGTTTCTATTCTATAGTAAGCTGTATCTAAAACAAGTATGCATAGGGTTCGTTTGCATTCCTCTGCTTACCTTTAGGCCTGACCAGAACTGTCTTTCTTGGAACTTTGAATGTGGTGATGCTCTGTTTTCTACGACACTTTTTTAAAAGAAAAGAAAGAGGATATGCAGAGAATTGTGGTATTTCAGAACCAATAATGAAAACATAGATTTCCCAGTAACCACATAGCCTTAAAATTCCTGTGATATCAGAATAACAAATGCACATACATTTTGACCTAACAGTTGAATGTCTGGGGCTGCCCTCTTTGAATATACTTGCACACGTAAACAATATGCGTGTAATACTTTGTTTCATTGTTGGTAATGGGAACCACTCATATGCTCCTTTGTTATTCATCTAGACTCCCAGCACTATCGAGTCAATTCTGACTAACAGCAACCCTATCGGACAGAGTCAAACTGCCCCACAAGGTTTTCAAGAAGATAATCTGTACAGGATCAGGTGTGCATCGTCAACCTTTTGGTTAGCAGCGAGCCTGTAACCAATACACCACCATCAGTTAGAGTACGTCTACATACGAAATGTTATGTAGTTTAAATTAAAGATGACATAAAAAGGTGTCAAAGATTTGCTAAGTAAAGAGAATAAGATATGAAATACTGATTTTAACCACTTACAATATACTTCATTTTTGGCAAAAAGAGAAAAATAGCATTAATCAGCATTTAGTTTATCTGTGTGAAGAAATTCTAAAAGATAAACAAAAATAATCAGTGATTATTAATGCATGTGGGGGAGGGCAGAATGTGGACAGTCAGAGGTAAGGAATAGAAAGGAAGAGCCTTTTCATTTTAAAAATAAAAGTTAACATAGGAGTATTATTTATTTTAGTAACTACACATACACGTTGTACCAGATGTTTTCCTTGTGGACATCTCTTCATGACTTAAAATGGTAGCTTTCTCTGCTCTCCTCGGAAGATGCCCCGCTGCTGCAGGGCAGACCCACTTCCTGGAGGCAGCGCGGTTCAGGACACAACTGGGCTCCACGGGGCTGCCAAGGGCAGGTTTCTTTCACAACTAGATCACCAAGTCTTTCTTTGGTGTGGACTTGAACTACTAGCCTTCTGGTAACCAATGAGCACATTAACTGTTTGCCCAATCCAGGGATTCTACTTGGAAAGTTTAGAGACGCCCCTCCCCTCTCTTTTCCCTCCATAAAGCAATTCAATCTATTAGTTGCATTTAATGGATAACTGTAGTTCACAAAGCACTCACTATGACTAGATGCTTTCTTAGCAACCATATGAATAGCTATCAAATATTACTAATTTTCTAATTGCAAGTGAAGTCAGAACTCACCGATACAGTTTTGACCCCAGTGATATTCTTTCGAGGCCTCCTGCTGTACTTTTTTCATAATATCCTGTGAGGTAAACACTAATTGTTTCTGTTTTACAGATGAGGGTAATGACACACAGGCATGCCCAAAGTCAAATGGTGGATCCAATCTCAAGAATTTGTGTTTCTAACCACTTTGCTATGCTGCTGCTCAAATTCCTAGCACATTCTGAAAAAATTATGAATGTTGTCATGGACTGAACTACAGCTCCCCCAAACGTGTCAATTTTGCTGGGTCATGATTCTCGGTGGCCTGGCAGTTAAGTAAAAACCCCCTGTGATGTGAAGCAATCTTAAGTGATCAGTCAGTCTGTCAGTTGTCAGAGATGCCACACCCCTCACAACCCCGATCCACAGAAAGGGAGTTTCTCTGGGTCTCCAGTACCTTTGATCTCACCAAAACTGGAAGGAGAAAAAAGTGAGCAGCGATGGACCCACCACTATAAACACACGAAGGAGCAGAGCTTGTCTCTGGGGCCAGGTCCCTGTGCCGGAAGCTCCCTGGAAGGGCTGATGCCAAGACATGAAATCCCCAACAAATCCTGGGCCCACGAGGCTGAACGAGCACAAGGATCTTCCTCCTACACTGCACGCCGACAAAGAGAGAGTGCCTCCTTCCCTTGGAGCTGGCATTCTGAATTCAGATCTCTGCTCTCATGGTTCATGGAACTGAATTTGTTTGGAAAAGCTAATCATTTGTGGTATTTGTTACAGCAGCAGTAGGCAAGTGAGGCATAAAATGCCCGAGAAATATTATGTGGAGATTTCAATATGTACAGTAATAGAATATATGTATGTATGCTTTGTAAACATTTAAATAGTTTCTTTCTCATTATATTACCTGCATTAAATGATTAGCTATTTCAGCCCAACTGAAAATTAAGAGCACTTACCTCTTTGGATATAGGGGAATAAAAACATCATCTTCTATGGCCTTCTTTATTCTTGAAGCAATGGAATTAAGTAAATCCTAAATTTGAAAAGCGTAAGTGATAATCATACATGGAAATAAGCTTAACATAAAAAGTAATTTGAACAGTAGTCTAAGTTTGTACACGCTCATAAAGTCAGGTGCTAAAAAGTAAGGAGTGAAGCATCCTGTAGGCACGGGCTCCATGCTGAGACTCCTAGATTCCGGAGACAGTTGTAAAACTAGAGATGGCAATAGGAAATGAGCTTACTGCTCCTAACAGTGAGTGCCTAATTCCCCTACATGGCTATTACAATTCTTCTTGTATTAGCCTCTATGTTTTCCTTATTGACTTATAGATGTCTTCTCCATACAGTCTAGCTATGTCTCCTCTGCTGGTTTGTCTGTGTTCTAGACATCATCTTTGGCCAATTCATAGTATAATTTGTATACTGAAAATATTCAGTCATAGGGTATTTTAAGCATGTCATGCTATAGCCATCTTCTAGTAATACTATCTAGGCAGTTAGTTTACGACGACGTTTCCAATGCCATTGAATTGATTTCAACTCACAATGACCCCAAACAGGGTTCCTGAAGCTGGTGGGTTTGAACCACTGACCTTGTGGTCAGCAATTCAATGCATAACTGACAGTGCCATCAGGGAATATAGATATTTAATGAAAGAATCTTAAACAAATCAAAATTAAAAAATAATAATAGTATATGATACAGAGCAAGTTATTTTTCAATAGTCAACCACAATGTTTGTAACACAAATTAAGTTGCCATCTACCCTTTACTAACCTAATTACTCTTAAATGCAGAATTCAACCAAATATACTTTTCATAATAAGTGTATCTAACCTATGTAATATTTCTCTTTTCATGAAATGATATTCTTCATGTGACCATGCATTAGTATTTAATTAATAGTAAAACACACAAAACATAAGTTGGACACATAGAAACGGTTCAACTGGCGTGTTCAGTGTAGTTGGTTATGCACTGGGCTAACCCCAAGGTCAGTATTTGAACTCTCCATCAGCTCCAAAGCAGAAAGATAAAGACTTTCTGCAACTGTAAAGATTTACAGCCTCTTGCACTTAGTTCTACACCCAAGTGAAGAACAATTAGTTCGTATGACAGGGCCCTGCTTAATGCTCACCCTCATGAAGAGATAACTGAAGATACGGGTGCTATAACAAAGTGTGGTGTGGTAAAGAAACTAGGTGGTGCCTGGCTATCAGACAAAAGAGCTTATGGGGTCTTAAAGGCTTATCTTTAAACAAGGAAACATCTAAGTGAGACATCAACTAAGTTTATAAGGAAGAAACACACTAGCCCATGTGACACGTGAAATGTAATTCATATAATCCAAGTCCAAAGGAGGACATGGTATCAGAGCTTGGATTGCAAACCCCTGGTTTGCAGGAGGGTGTGGATGACAGTGGATGCCCAAAATCCATTTGTATGTGTACACACGCATACAGACACCTCTGTAAATATATTGTGAAGTGGCATTGAAAAGGCACTGATAAGGCCCAACCATCAGTTTTTAGGCTGCTCAGTATATGCATATATGGACAGGTCTTGGGGTACCCAGGGGAGAAGGAGAATAAGTATCTGTCATGGCAGAAACAGCTCTGTCTTTGTGTACTTCACTTGAGAAGGTTCTGCTGTCGGAATAAAAGTCTGAAATCTATTCATCTATCTAAATACCGTGGCTGCACCAAAAGGCTCAAATGTAGGAACAATTTGAGGATGGCTCGGAACTGGACAGTGCTTTGTTCTGTTGTACACTGGAGTCAGTATGAGTAAAAGCTGACTCAGTGGTATCTAACAGTAATCACACCTATACACCTACATGAAGCTTAGATTCATTTTCTTATCTCCATTAACATGTCAGTTAACTATGCCTCAGTGGCACAGTGATTATGCCTTACGCTGCAGTCCAGCGGTTCAAAACTACCAGCCACTCCACGTGAGAAAGGCGGGGCTTTCTGCTCCTGGAAGCGCATCTTGGAAACTCCCGGGAGCAGGTCTACACCTTGTGCTACCGGGTTGCTCTGTGTCAGCATTGACTCAATGACAGTGTTTTTATCTTTTTCTGAGTAGAGGCCACTTTGAGCCCTTTTTTGATGTTAGTTTATTTCCTTGGTCCTAGCTTATCCTGCAGAATTATACAGAATAGATTATTCTATGTAACAATCCTTCAGATATCAAGACTGTGGTCATATTTTCCCTATACCTTCTATTTCTTACATCATCTTTGTAGGTACACTCCACTTAATATGCTTCTACCCAGAATTACATGCACAATTTCAGGGAGGTTTAATCTGTGGGTAGAAAGCAAAACACTTTGACTTGAAACAGCACATACCTCTGGATTCTAGCAAATCTATCTGTTGTTGAAGCGATTGCTTGTTTACTTAGACTGGTTTACTGCTGGTCATAACCCTTAGCTTAGCTTTGCTGCTTCAAAATTGTATCTCTCCATTTTTTATGTGGTTGAATTTTTTAACACAAAGAATGGATAGACTTTAACTTCTTTTCAATTTCATCCCATGAGTTAATCCATTATTTTTGTTTTCTGAAATTCTTTTGTATTCTCTTATCCATATATCAAATGATAGAAATCCTAGCATGTTTGCACTGGCAAATTAAATTGGTATTTTACAGTCTCATTCCGTTCAATAAACTGTGACCAAAGTAAAGCTGAAAAGATTCGATACTAAGGAGACTTCCCTTAGGTAACCTCATTTCTATTAATCAGTATGCTTTAGATACAATCTACTAGTTTCTATGTACCTGCTAAGCTAATCTTTTCACATATGATTTATAAGACATGATAAGACAGTTAAAAATACATTTTTATTCTTAAAAATCTGACTGCCACTGAGTCGATTCTAACTAACCCACCACACCACCAGGCCCCTTGTTTTATACATCCTTGATTTCTGTCTCTGAAAGAAAATGGGGCACTGTTTGAAGATTTGCTTCGATAAACACAGTCTTTTGTGTTTAGGAACTCTGTCAATGATAGATGATAGTAATTACTGCTTTCTTTCTTTAAGTATTTCTAACTTGCCATTGCACTTTAGAATCTTTAGAACCTTATCAAGAATCAAAACCAGGCATTAGCTTACAGAATGTACTTGCTTCTCATTTGTGAAACAAGAACTATGATGACTCCATTCTCCTGTAACCTTCCCTTCCTCATCTTCTTCAATTGCTTACACATTACAATGCACTGATTTGACTGGCAGACAGTCTTAGTTACACAAAACATCATGTGGCACAGTGGTTGTCAACTGAGGACGGTACTCTCCAAGGTGGCATTTGTGCATGTCTGTAGGTATTATGGACTGTCAAGACAGGGTATTTGCTACTGGCTTCGAGAGTGTAGATGCCAGGGTACTGGCTAAGCATTCTAGAAGGCAGAGTGGTTCTCAACCTTCCTCATGCCGCGACCCTTTCATACAGTTCCTCATGTTGTGACCCCCAACCACCAATTTATTTTTGTTGCTACTTCTTAACTATAATTTTCGGGCGACCCCTGGTTATTCGACCCCCAACGGGGTTGTCACCCACAGTTGGAGAACCGCTGTTATAAAGCATAGAGAAGTGTGTCTTTGCCCCACCCCACGACAAAGATTTATCTGGTGTTGATGTCTATATTACCAAGGCTGAAAAACCTTGATGTAGTTCAGCCTTATACTAATGCGAAAGAACCCATCATTCATAGTGGGAGGGCTTTAAGAGTAAAAAATTTCATTACAAAAATCTTATGAGCAATCTGTAATACTGATGAAAAATGTCAGTGATTACAAAATGCCTGGTCGCACACTAATATCGAAGTGACCTTTTACCAGTGACTTGTCCTTTTGGGCCCCAGTTTCTTCATTTTACAATGATTAACATATATTCCCACATTTTACAATGCTTTGAGGAAAAGATAAAGAAAAAGAATTTTATAAATGGAAAAGTATAATTTTCATTTAGGGTTTTTAAAAAAATCATTTTATTGGGGGCTCGTACAACTCTTATCATAATCCACACGTCCATCCATTATGTCAAGCACATTTGTATATTTGTTGCCATCATTTTCAAAGTATTTTCTTTCTACTTGAGCCCTTGGTATCAGCTTCTCATTTTTTCCCTTCCTTCTCCCACCCTCCCTCCCTCATGAACCCTTGATAATTTATAAAGTATTATTTTTCTCATTTAGGTTTTAATTACATAATCCTATAGAGAATCAAGTTATAGGTTTGCTTCCTCATAGTTCCTAATACTGGTTTTATACACACAATAAATACATTCCATCTGTGAATATAAACACTATCTCCCCACATATCTTCTTTTCTTTAGCTTAAATAACTGTAAACTCCTCCATGATTTTTATACATGGACTATTAGCCTGCTGTAGACAATGAGTTGGAAATACTCTTCTCCATTAGTAGCCATATGCCCAAATTCTATCCTTCAAGTCTCAGCTCAAATGGCATTGCTGACATGAATTTCTCTTCAGTTTCTTAATGCCCAACCTCAAAGTTCAACTATGAGCATACTACCTTCTCAATAACAGAATGATTAAAAAATAAAGTATCACAATGAAACTAAGATTGAGTAGCCTCTCAGCCAGGTCTCTGTACAAAGTTCATTATGTTAATAAACTCATTTCCACCATCACCCTAACATGAAAGTCTACCCTACTAAACTTTGAATTCTTAAGATGAGTACTCTTAATATTGGCAGAATACAAATAGCTAGTTAATATCATGAATGTAAGCTTTATTTTGAAGTCATTTTTAGAGCAGGGCCCCAATGCCACTGGAGTGTGGCCAAGAGTGAAGAAAATGAGTTTTGTTTTATTCTGCTGCTTTTTGAAGGGCTGAATTTGCACTAATGTGTTCATGTTTGGTCATGTCTGCAGGGCCAGGGACATTCAAAAAGCTGTAAGATGGTTGGCTGGGTTGTGGACTACGAAAACATGCCCGTTCATAGAGAGAAGTTAGCCCGTAAGAATCAAAGTAGTAATTTGGGTCTTATTACCTAGTCAGTCCTAGTTTCTATCAGACCTAAGTCTGTTGACAAATTGCTGTCTGTTAAGTACGTCTTCTGAATTTTCTATTAAAGATCTGTACAAAAGCAAAGTGACCACTAAATCAAGGAAATAATCACTCTAAGTACTGCCCGTTTGCCTTTACTTACTTTATTTTCACAAGTTGAATGTTCTTCCAGAATCATTCTGCAGTGGGTTATTAAATTTGTTGTCTGTGAGGTTGACAAAGGATCCCAAATGAATTCCACAAATTCTGAAACAAATATTTCAGTGATGCACAATTGGTTCGCTAGATTGTGTCTGCTTGTCACATGCTCTGGCAGCATCTCCCATCCCCACTGGATTCAACTCATCATGTCAGTTACGACAGGAACTCAGAGACATTCAATTCAGGCCGCATGCCCTGCACTCTTACCCAGCGCATCATCTTTTCACCTTCTACCCCAGAAACCCTCCATTGCAGCCTTTCGGAAACAAATGGTCAATTACTACCAAAACCTCTGCTGCGTTTTACCTTTTACTTTTTTACCCTGACCCTGCTCTCCCTTCGAGCAGTGTTTCCTTTGCTGCCTTCTCCAGAGAGAATTATTTTCTATTCTGCATCCTTCATATCTAGGAGGTACTACTTTTTCTTCATAAAACAACTGAGTTTATGATCTCCCCTCAGTAGGCTTTGACATACACACTCCCCTAACCTTGTTGACGGAGTCTTTATTCCAGAGGCCACCTCCTTTCATTCCCTGAGGACTGTCAGCTCCGGTACCCTGCCACTCTCTCCCACAGAATTCCTAAAATAATTGGCATTTCCAAATCCAAGCAGGTAACAGTTGCAGTACTCTGGCTTCTCAGATCCTTGATCACCTACCTCTTTCTTAATAACCTCAAGTTTCATCCTCCTCCCTCTGTCCCAGGACGGCACTCTACACCTTGTCAACACCAACTGAAACCCTCTGTAATCAAAATTTCATAGTCTAAGAGATGATAACCTCTTCTCCGCCAATCTTTCCAGCTCATTCCTTTTAGAATTCCTCAATCCTTCAGTATACCAGGACCTGCAATCTATTGATCCAGCCACCGTTTTATAAACCCTCGCTTAAATTTATAGTCAGCCATGACAACTAACATATTTTCTTATACCCACAATTTCCTTGCCTGTCTTGGGCTCTGCTGACTTTGCCTGACTAACCCACAGGCTCAGTTAAATCTGTCTTTTCACGAGTTTGTTTCTGCAATCATGCAGTTGCAGCACGGCTGGAGGAAAACAGACTTTAAATTCTTCATGATGAAGCCCCTTGTGAGGCCTTCCTGCTGCCTGGCTCTCACACTGTTTCCCTGGCCTTTCACTTTCCTCTCACCTACATGCTTATTTCAGACCTTTTTCTTCCTCCTTGCTCTCATCTGTTGATGGATTGATGGTCATAGATGACTATTTCATACGTTTACCCTTTTCCTCACTCTCAACTGATCATTTTACTTCCCAGTTTGATGAGAACATAGATGCAATCAGGAGAGAAACTCTCACTTGTCTCCTGTTCCTTCGGCCACAGCACGCATGCTCCTGGCGAAGGCCACCCTTTCCCTGGGCATGGGACTCTAACCACGCTGGTTTACTGGAACAAGACGCTGCTCCAGCAGCTCTGTTCACTCGCTCTGGCGTGTGGTTACTTCAGCTGGGTCTTTCTCATCAGCCTACAAACCAGCGACTGTTTCTCTTAATGAAAAATAGATTCCAATCTTCCTCCCACTGATCCTGCCCCATTTCTTTCCTTCCTTTGACAGGAACATTCCCAAAAATAAATAACAAATGATCCACAATAAAATCTACCTAAAAAAATCTGTCTAAATTAACACTCTCTAACTTCTCTTTTACTCCTTGAACTCCCTTCAATCAAACCTCATCTTCCACTATTCTATCCAAACTGCTCTCATCAAATCACAGATGACCTTCACATTGTAAAAGCCAAGGGTCAAGGCTAGTCCTGCTCTAACTTGAACTGCAACAGATGACCAGGATGTTTCCTCTTAAAACATTTTCTTCACTTGCCTTCTAGGAGACCACACTTCTCTGGCTTCCTGTCCGCCTTTCTGGTTTTCATTGTTGGCTGCTTGCCAACTCTTAGACCTTTAAATGCTGGAGAATCCCAACTCAGGCCACATACTTTCTCTTTCCTATCTACATCCTCTTCCTTAAAGGTCAGTCGTGGCTTTACATACCAGCAACATGCAAAGAATATCTAATTTGTCTTTAGCCTGGACCTCTTCTTTTGGACTCATATACTTAAGCCTACTTGACATCCATCGCTTGGATGAAAGGGATCTCAAATTTCACACATTCCAAACTGAGCTGTGGAAACAGCTCCCTGTCTTAAATCGTTCCTTTCAAAACCTCCCATTTCAGCAAATGGCAAATCTGTCCTAGTTGATTAGACAAAAGATCATGGAAACACTCTTGAGTCTTCTCATTCTGTTGAACCATAATAACCCATTAGTACATTTTGTTAGTGAGACCCTCACTAAATAGTTTAAAAACTACCTTCATGTTGTGACAATATTTATAGAGTGCAAGTGTGCTTAGTGCTACCTTCAAAGCAAACAAGAGAACTCTGTAACTTTTTGGTGTGGTGTGCTACACATTGACCTGCTAACCACAAGGTTTGTGGTTTGAACCCACCAGTCACTCCATGGGAGAATGATGAGGCTGTTTGTTCCCATAAAGATTTAAAGTCTTGGAAAGGGTTCCAAAGGGGCAGTTCTCTGCTGTCCTATACAGACTACGAATCAGGAGTCGATTCAATGGCGGTAATTTTGTTTGGACTTAACTTTTAACATACTATTTGAAACCACCAGTTGCTCTGCAGGAGAAAGATGGGGATTCTTACTCCTGAAAAGAGTTAGTCTCATAACTTCACAGGGGCTGTTCTACCATGTCCTATAGGGTCACTATGAGTTGGAATTGTTTCTATGGCAGTGGATGAGTTGAGCCCAAGACATATCTGCTGCCTGGTCTACTGTAAAAGCTTCTTGACTGGTTTCTATATAGCAATACTCAACACAGAGGCCAGAGTGATTCTGTTAAAATGCTAAAGTACATCAATCACTTCTTTGCTGTAGAAGAAGAGAAAGTTCATTCAGTGAGATCTTATTGGTGGTTGTTCATGACCTTGGCTAGGCCAATTTCAGCGGAGGCAGAAGCCTCATCACTAAAAAAGAAAAACCACATCGGCAATAGACAAGCTCTGCAATTATAGAAGCACAGTTCATCTTCATCACATATCAAGTTGCTAAGAGCCCTGTCACAGTGCAGCAACACTTTTGTCACCAAAAGTAAAAAGAAAGACAAAGTTCTATATTAAGTTAGGAAAACGAAGAAATGCACTATAAATTTAAGAAAGATTGAACACTAATGAGGCCAGTTCTTAACAAGGTATGTGACTGACAGGAGACAAATAATGGATGTATTAAAACAACTTGATGTAATGGGCTCTAAAGTACTTCTCTGGGAGCCCTGGCACAGTGGTTGCCACATTAGCCGCTAGCCACAAGTCAGTGGTTTGAAAAGCTTCAGCCACTCCACACAGGACAACAATGAAGCTGTCATCCCCTGTATTAGACCTAGTCTCAGAAACCCACAGGGGCAGTTTTGCTCTGTCCTAGAGGGTTGCTATGAGTCAGAGTCAACTCAGTGGCAGTACGTTCTTTTTTTGTATGTTTGGTTTGTGTTTATAAACATGATAAATATATGAAGATCATTAGCAACCACCTACTTATTTGTGGGAGTGTACAATTGTTAAATGAAGTATTTGGATTTTTCAGAAATCTACATTACTTTAGGAAGCACTGCTTTCTACATTATTATTAGTAGCACTAGTTAAAAGTGGCAACTTTCTAATATGCCCCCCCCATATGCCAAAAACTGCACTAAAAACTATATAAGGAAAAGCTCTAAAGTTTAATCAGCAGAGGTAAACTATAAACCTGGCTGATACAGCTTCTAAAATAGAGTGCTGCAGCTTTTGCTAACAGAGCTCCATTCTCGGGGACACGGTGAAACGGACCCGCATCAGATATTCTTCGGTGAAACGAGTCTTCGACATCAATGCTAGCTAAGAGCTCTGACTGTCCACAGCAGATCTAAGAGAAATGTGAAGTTTTTTCAAGAAAGGGGGGAAAAAGAAAAAATAGAGACATATACAATATGGATAGTTGAGTGCTAATATCAAATGACCTAGGTAGCATAAAGCAGAGTTATTATCACAAATGCTAAAGGGTCAGAAAATTGGCAGCAGGTAGCTATCCATACAGGTGTTCAATAACCCGCATTAATTATGATATCTGCTGATTTCTACTCCATACAACATTCCCAGGTGTCTAAGAACTTCTGAAACAAAACAAACAACCCAAAACAACTTCTGACAGCAACAGAAGCTAGTAATCTTATGCTCTATCAAATATCACTTTACATTTATAAAGCTCATAAAGAAGTACCTGTAAGTCGGGGAATCAGTGTTTTGTTGATGACGGCAGCCAGGATTTTTTTATCAGAACTAGCTTCCTCCTTGGAATCTTCCATTCTGCTATTCACAAATTCTTCTATAGACGTGAACCATGGCATCTGTTTCAAGCCCATGGATTCCAACTTATAGATAAAATGATAAAGGTTACAAACGAATTCTTAAGCACTAATTCTAAAACAGTTAACTTTTCCAAGAACTAGAGCTTTCCTGAGCCACAGGGGAGAAAAGGTCCATTCGTCCACACTGCAGCCTGCAGCACAAGGCCAGGAGCACATGACTAAGACAGATGATGTCTCCACAGGAAGAAGCTGCATTCTATGCATTAATTCAGATACTACATGCTCAATCAGTGTCACACAGCAAGCACTCCGTTCGGAGCAAAATAAACACTGACTAGAATAGCACTAGAAACATCCGTAGAAATTATTCATAAAAAACTCACCTGTCTTGAGCAACCTCTTCTGCTCCCTTAATTTTCAGAAGCGCAAACATGTAAATTACACGATTTAGTTTACTAGACAGATGTCCAATTATTAGTTGTTGAATGAACAGATCATTGTTAGGCATAATAGAATGCCCAATTTAGATCAAATGGTTACTACCTAGGCTGAGCCCGATGGACTCCCCAGCACTATCTTAGGAGACAATGTGGCTCTTGTACCCTGAGGACCATGCGGCCCTGACCCTAACAAGGGGCCAGCAGGCCTGCATGACTACAGCAGAGAAAGAGAAACGGACATTTATCCCCCACTTACTAAATCTTGGTCCTCAGCTTTCATCTCCTCCTAGAACTTCAGTTTCGCATTTGTTTGGTTACAAGGCGTAGCTATGCAAATGTTCCAATGCTATTTAAGTATCGATGAAGTGAAACCGCCCCCAAACCTTTTCTCGTTCTGGAGAGACCCCATTTTTATTAGTTGTCATTCTTCCTGTAAACCAGAATCGAAACCCTGAGGGCATCTTCGGATTTGGAGGGTTCCAGTGATCCTTTACATTCTACTGGCTTAAGTCATAACACTTACTGTAATCACTCTTCCATCCATCACTCTCACCCTATGTGTGGAATTAATCACCTTGAACTTGACTATAGCAACAGTTTTCAAGGATATACCTCCATTTCTCTTCTCCCTTCTCTTCAAGTTAGATTACTGCTCACCCACTGCCATCAAGTTAATTCCACGTCACAGTGACCCTACAGGCCAGGACAGCAAGGTCACAGAACTACAACTCTTCATCGGATAGAAAACCGAGTCTTACTCTGTGCAGTCGCTGGTGGTTTCCACATGGCTGACCCTGTGACATATTACGAACTACCACGCTGCCTGGGCTCCCTATAAGTGACTGTCTTTTCATCACGCCACTATCACTACACTTCTATTTCTCTCTCCCTCTTCCTCTTTAAGCCCTTCATACTCGTTTTAAAGCCCGCTTTAAGATCCTTCTCTATATAGCTTTTCCAGTGAACTCTTCCCAAAACACAATTTCCAACTTCAGAGGCCTTGGAACAAGGTTCTTAAGTCTAATTTCCCCACACAGACTATAAAATTCTTAAGGTACAATTACTAGCTTAAGCTTTTCCTGGGAGGTCCCAAAATTAACAAAGCTGTAGCTTAACAACAACAACAAAAGTATTCGCTGTACTAAAGGCCTATTGCCACTAAACTTTAAAAATCATGAAAGAACAAAGAAAAGAACGTACACATTTCTAAACCTTTGCTTCAAAGCACTAATTATCAGCAGCAGTGCTACGGGTAAGGCAATTTACAGCTCACCTGATAGCATGAGAACTTAAGTAATTAAGAAGATTATTTTTTCACAGACGGGGGCTTCAAAAAGTTCCTGGGAAATACCATTTCTAATGCAATTTTTCCACCAACTTTTGAAGTCTCCTCATATGTTATGCATGATTACCTTAAGAGGATTCCAATCAATTAGCTGAGTCCGTATTAGGGGATTTAACAGCTTCGGTATGCACAAACTAATGAAAGCTTCATAATAGGAATCTGGAAACTTTTCTCGCCATTGCCGAAATTTCAACAAAATGTTCTGAATGTTACAAAAATCTTCATGTACATCTTCAAAAATCTTCGCATGATTTTGTAAAATATCATCTGTAAAATAATTTCTTTATATTATGCCGTTGCTTGAGGACAAACTGAAGATGTCCTTGCTATTAAGACGTAAATTTGTTTTTAATTTAAAAATCACTTTAGTAACTGTAACATCAACACTGCTACTCAATACCACTTACCATGCATACCCCTGCTATATATCAAAGTGTTACCAATACATAACCTCATTTAATCACCACAGCTGTGTTACTACTCTACTTATTTACCACACACACACACACACACACACACACACACACACACACACACACACACACTAAAAAAACCCAAGTAGGCTCAGCTTAGTGATCTCAAGTAATTAAATGACTATCACCTTAAATAAGGCCCTTATTCAAACTCAAGTCTATTTAACTTCTAAGCCAACATTCTTTCAGCTACCCACATCTTACAATCACATAAGGCAAAAATAGTCTCACTAAATTTCGGTGTTTTGAATTAAGAATAGTGATACAGACAGTGTGTGGTGCTAACATAAAACTAAAGTGTTAATTTCCAACAAGAGATAAGGACTGAGGGAAAAACCATAAAGGAAATGGCTTGCTTTCCTTTCTCTCTAACAATTTCCAACTGTTTTATACAGCTTAGGTGTTTAAGGCTTAAAACCAAGGAAAACATGTTAACGAAGTACTTGGCACATTTTAAATACTTTTACTCGAGACCGATAAAAGCTTGGTGGCTCACCTTGGCCCTTTTGGAAGTCAGCCCCTTCTGCCGCAGGCGGTTCATCATCACTAGACGCGCCTTCCTCATGATCACAGTTGCCAGAAAGCGTCCTGGCCTGTCTTCTTCGTGCTCTGTATTTTGTAATAAACCAAAAATGAATGGAAAGTAAATAGCTCTTGCCAAAAATAAATACTTTCAAACAGTAAGAACAAATTCCCAGGGATATCATCATCAAATTCAGGTAGTTTTATGTTAATATTTTTGAAATCTTAGCAGTGTTAACCTGAATTTGTGATTCTCTTTCTTTTCAATTATGATTAGACATTCTTATTTAGGAAATTCTCATGGGCTACCGAGAATTGAAGATGGCATCCTAGGGACTTAAACGACTTTCTACGAGCAATTCCTAGCTCGATAAATCTCATTTTACTGATTCCTTTCAATTGACTCAGATTTAACAGGGTCTTTAAATTGGGGGGTTGAGTACAACCTATTTAAATTTTGGGTTTACATTATTCTCATAAATCATTTTTAGGTTACGGTTTAATCTATCACAGGCGTCAGCAGTGAGGAACCCTTGCTCAGTGATGCTCTAACTCTACATTGTTACCTTCGGAATTCCATTTCTTCTAAAATCTGTTGTGCCTTTTCATCTAAAGCCAAACTTCCATTGGTTGACGTCTCAGCCTTACCTGTTAAAGAATAAAACTAATTTCATATGGCAAATTCTCTAAAACAGTAGAGCAAAATATGTGAAACAAGTAGTATCTTGTATATAAACATAAACACACAAATAGTGTGCTCGAGCATCGTAAGTCATTATGCCGTGGCAATGTGATCCTAGTGCAGCGCTACCCAGCTGTTTGCTTGTTAAAAGAAACAGTACCATGGATGCAGAACAGAGGTCAGCATTTGAAAACAGTAACAAAATGCCACCACAAAATTTACTTCCTTAAACTTTTTTTTCAGCAGCTTTTACCAGTTTTTTTGTCCCTGTAGTCCAATGCTGAAAATATTTGTATTACAATATTCCATTCACATTACTTCTTTTCACCAGAAAGAGATAATGCAAAACAATGAAACCAACCCACTGCCATCAAGTTGGCTCTCTGACGCACAGCAAGCTAGAGGACCAAACCAGAACTGCCCCAGAAGGTTCTCAGAGCTCCAGGCCACAGAAGCCGAGGGCCACAGCCTGTTCCTGTGCAGTGCGGCTCTTTGGGGTAGCAGCTCAGAGTCTGATCACTGGGCTCGTTCACACTGGGCATGCACACACAATTTATGATCAACAAAATGCCATGTGGTCGAGAGACGAAGACTTTGCCTTTATTTGCTACTTAATTAGGTCTCATCTCTTTCACGATCTCCTGGCAATCCCTCAACCAAAAGTTATCTCTGAAAAATATAATATCAGTGTAATAAAAAAGGGGAGAATTCACCTCTTACTAGAAATTGTTTTATCTGAGCTGAAATCCATGATTTTTTTCTTTAAAGTTCCTATCAAATTTGTGGAAGGGTCCTGAACACTTTAGCATGAGGCTTCTGACACAGACTAGAGACTTATATGAACTATCTCAAAATAATCATTAAACGGGCCATAAACATATTTTGTCTTTAATACTAAATAATCATGTTATAATTTTTATGTTTAGTTTTAGACTAAGTTTGAGACATTTTAATGCCTTAGTTCTACATGTTTTAAAGTTTTTGGAAGGGTGAGTGAAAGGTTAGGGGGAAATATGTGAAAGAATTTGATAGTTTAACTTAAAGTATAATAAATTGACTATGAAAAACACTAACGTGATAATTGCTGTAAATACGCTGATTCATGTTTTAAGTCATCTTGCCTGCGTTTCATCAAGGTCATGGCTTGTTTTAAAACAAGTGCATGCATGGATGATTCAATTTCTTGAATGTCGATAATCTGAAATATATAAAAATAAGTAACATTTTGCAGGGTATGAACAATGAATTATGTAAAGTATAAAAAAGGGTAGCACAGGACCAGGTAGTGTTTTATTCTATTGTACGTGGAAACAACTTCATGAACCCTAACAAGACCATGTACACACACACACACACACAAAACTCATACAACACTTTCAAAAGTATCACGTCTTAATTATAAAACATGGTGGGCAACATATCTAGCCACCAATATTTTAATATTAATATTAAGAAACAGAAAATCAACTTATATTATTGCTGCTCGGTGAATGCCATCTCATAGGGACCCCATGGGACACAGAGTTGCTCCAGTTTCCATGGCTGGTGGTTTTAAAAGTCTGACTTTTGGGTTAGCAGCTTAGCCTTTATCCGCTGTGCCATTAGGCTTCTTGGAAAAATTTTAACTGTCTATAAATACAAACTGAAAGACAATGAGAAAAAGGAAAGGGTTCTTCTCTGGAAATAGGATTGTAGGAGGAAATGATGGATGTAGAAAAGTTAAGAAAATGAAAGAGACATCTACTCAGAGTCAAGTATGATAGCTGTGGAGCAGAAATGAACGACTCCCTATTTTAACACTTTGGGCAACAATTCGGCACACTTCCATGTAGCTACACAGCAGCAGCAGTTATTGAGTAATGTGTAGATTGATAGTTCACACTCACAGCAACCTGACATGACAGAAGATGACGGACTCTGTGGGTTTCCAAGGCTGTAAATCTTTTCAGGAACAGGAAACGCCATCTTTTTCCATTAGAGGAACTGGTGGGTTCAAACTGCTGGTCTTGTGGTTAGCGGTCCAAGAGGTAACTGATTATGCCACCACGGTTAGCCGTGAGTCAGGGCTGTTACTCGTCAGAACTGACTCACTGGCAGTGCGATGCCAGTGTTTGAAAGGAGTGCTGATGACAAAGTGGGTTATACACTGAGTTGTTAATTGAAAAAACAAAAAACCCAGAGGGGCAGTACTGCGGAACTGTGGAATTGATTCAATAGTAGTGGTCTTTTTGGGGGGGAAACTGACAAGATTTTAATAGGGAAATCCACCTCAAGTATGAATTTTAAAAAGGAAATCATGTACACTGTAGTAAGTAAGAGTAAGTACCAAATGATATTAGTGAAAGTAGAGAACAACTAGTCAACTTATCAAAAGGAAAGAACAAAGGAAGACTCCAATAAGGAGCCCTGGTGGTACGTGGTTACATGTTGGGCTGCTAACAAAGGTCAGCAGTTCTAACTCACCAGCTACTTCATGAGAGAAAGATGAGGCTTTCTGCTTCTGTAAAGATTCATAGCCTTAGAAGCTAAAAACAAAACAAACTCACTGCCATGGAGTCAGTTGTCATTTATGGCAACCCTCTAAGGCAGGGTTGAGCTGCCTTGTGGGTTCCTGAGACTGTAACTCTTTACGGGAGTAGAAAGCCTCCTTTCTTCTGTGAACCAGCTGGTAGTTTCAAACTACTGACCTTTTGGTTAGCAGCCCAATAAGTAACCACTACTCCATAGAAATGAAAAGAAACCGTTTTATTCTGACCTATATAGGGTTGTTATGAGTTGGAATTGATTCAGTAGCAGGGGAGGTAAAGAGGTCTTCAATGGAATGACAAAGGCTTAGTATGTGTAAAACGAGAACAGAAACTACAAAGGGAAAGATGGACCAATCTGACAACATGAGAATGTCACAAACTGATCGCAAACAAAATCAAGATAAAACAAACTGGGAAGCTTATCCATTTGTTCTCACAAGTAATGTGCCCGTGAAAATAGAGCATGTGTGCAATTACAATATGTGTGCATAGCACACACAGTATACACAGCAAACTAACATGTGAGGGGGTTACACAATTTTCATAAGACTGTATAATGCATGTTATTTGGGGAAAGTAAGCTATCAAACTGGATAAAGTAATACGTTTAAAAAAAACATGAACACCTCACAAATTTGCATGTCAACCTTGTACAGCGGCCATGCTAATCGTTTCTGTATCATTCCACTTTTAGTGTATATGCTGTCAAAGTGTGCATTAAAGTAGTAAAATAAATAAGGCATAAAAAATGTTTACTGAGTTAAAAAAGAAAAATTCCCACAAAGACTCAAAAAGGAAACAATGCAGAAGTGACAAATAACTGACAAGAAAAACGGTAAGTAGCTAATACATGATTAAATGTGGCATAATCTGTTTACAATTTAGCAGTATGTTTCATTACATACACAAATCAAATTTTACACAAAAAATTCTATAGCAAATTATATATCTTACTATTTATGATACCAACATAACTGCAAAATCTAAAATGTCTATCATTTTAGGAATAGTTAAATGTCAAAAAAGTGTGTGGGAAAACAACACTAGAAAAAAATACCTATAATTGGAACTGGAAACACAGGGAATCCAGGGTGGATGATCCTTTCAGGACGATGGGTGAGGGTGGTGATGCCAGGAGGGTGGGGTCAAGAGGGAGAACCTATTACAAGGATCTACATATAACCTCCTCCCTGGGGGGTGGACAACAGAAAAGTGGCTGAAGGGACATGTCGGGCAGTGTAAGATATGACAAAATAATAATTTATATATTATCGAGGGTTCATGAGGGAGGGGGAAAGGAGGAGGGAGGCGAAAATGAGGACCTGATGCCAGGGGCTTAAGTGGAGAGCAAATGTTTTGAGAATGATGAGAGCAATGAATGTACAAATGTGCTTTACACAATTGCTGTATGTATGGATTGTGATAAGAGTTTTATGTGCTCCCAATAAAATGATTTAAAAAAAATACCTATAATTTATTTATTTTAAAAACTACATGGTCAAGGGGATTGTCTAGAAATAAAAAATATAAACAATAACAAAGACTATAATATAAATAAATATTTAAGGTCACATACCTTTTCATTAAGACAATCAATTACATTTTCCACATAAATCTTCATACTCTTATAGAATTTATAATTTGAGGCTTGACTTGAGGAATTCTCTATGTTCTTGATTGTACTCTTTGAGCTCTTAATATCTTGTATGTATTTTTCATATTCTCTCAGGTGGGAACGGTGAGTGTCTTGTAATAATGTTAACCTAGACAAAATAAAAATAAATACTGATTTCTTATTTTCGAACTCTAATTTCTACAGAATGGACAGCACTCTGAGCTTCGTGTAGTGAACTTGCAGAGTAAACAAGAGCACGGTCTGGAAGAAGCCTCAAGAGGGTAAAAGTAGAAAAAGCTCCGGTCTTTACAGAATGGAGTGAATCGGAATTCAAACTCAAAACCAAATACACTTTAGTTACAGAATAAAAAAGGAATAGGGCTAACTTAATGTATAAAAAAGACATTGAAGAAAAGAATTTTCAACCAATTTTAAATAGTGAACAAAATGAAACAGATCGACATGAAATGCTCTTTCTGAATATGTAAAGCAGGAGAATCAAACTTGCTCCTTGTCAAACTGTGAAAGGACTGGTTCAGCTTTCACCATCATATACGTTCTCTCATCGGCTTGAAGATACACACGAAGATACACATGAGCAGCACAAGGGCAGTCGGTTTGGTTTTGGTATTTTTTATTAATAAATCATTTTATTGGGGGTTCTTATAACAATCCACACATCAACTGTATCAAACACATTTATACATATGTTGCCATCATCAGTTTCACAGCATTTTTTTTTTCTGCATGCGCCCTTGGTATTAGATCCTCTTTCATTCCTCTCCTTACCCTGTCCTCTCACCCACATGAACCCCTGATAAATTATAAACTATTATTTTCATATCTTACACCTGCTGTTTCCTTTTGCCCATGTTTCTGTTGTTCGTCCCACTGGGGGTGGAGGTGGCTGTGGGTGGGGGGTGTTTATATGTCAGTCATTATAGTCGGTTCCCCATTTATCCCCGTTCTCCCCCCACTCTTATGGCATTGCTACTCCCATTACTGTTTCTGAGGGGTTTATCTGTCCTGGAGTCTGCGTGGAGAGCTCTTATCTGTGCCAGTGTACATGCTCCAGTCTATCTGGATTTTAAGGTAGACCTGGGGTCATGATAGTGGGGGGAGAAAGCATTAAAGAACTAGAGGAATGCTATGCTGCACCCTGGCTGTCTTGTTCTTTCCTTGTAACCCTTCTATGAGGGCATGTCCAATTGTCTAAAGATGCGTTTTGGGTATCTACTCATACACTCATCATTTGCATCAATTTGTTTGTTTTAGGTCTTCTGATGCCTTATACCTGATCCTGTGGACATCTTGTGATCACACAGGCTGGTGTGCTTCTTCCATGTGGGTTTTGTTGCTTCCTTGCTAGATGGCCACTTGTTTAACTTCAAGCCTTTAAGATCCCAGATGCTTTATCTTTTAATAGCCTTGCACCATCAGCTTTCTTCACCACATTTGCTTATGCACCCATTTAGACTTCAGCGATCTTGTCGGGCAGGTAAGTATCACAGAATGCCAGGTTATTAGAACAAATTGTTCTGGAGTTGAGGGAGGGCTTGAGTATAGACCCAATGCCTGGCTGCTACCATGATACTATATAGATGCATGTACATAGACCTACATCCCTTTCATTATATATTAATGTATTTACATATGTATATGCCTATATTTATGCCTCTATAAATGTCTTCTGCCTCCTTGTTCTTTCCTCTATTTCTTTTTACTTTCCTCCTGTCTCACTACCACGTTCAACCTTCATTTGACTCTCAGTACTTTCTCTAAGCTACACTGCACTTAACCCCATCAGGCATTCTATGCCTTCCTTACCATCAATTTTAGATCTCTAATTGTTCCCTTGTCCCTTGGATTGTTGGTGCCTCTCACCCCTTCTTCCACCTCCTCCTTTCCCATGTCCCTCTGGAGTTGTTGGCCCATTGTTTTCTCCTCAGGAGTGGTTATCCTGCCTAACCTATATGGATAGACATGGTTTTGATATTTAAGAGACAAGTATCAATAACAGCCCAGAAGCTGAGTAGGAAAAGCATGGGTATTCTGCTTCTGGAAAAATTACGAGGTTCGGAAAGCACATGTCATAGTTCTGTTGTCACATTGGATCACTGTAAGTCCAAAGAGACTTGATGACGTTTAACAACAAATGAATTTTAAAAAGACAGTTGTACTTCGGAAAGGCAATTTGTGTCAAGAGCCATAAGAACATGCCTATCCATTACCACGTAATTAAAAGAAATTATTTAACAAGCTATAAGACATACAAAGGCACTTCAAAGAGTACCATATATACTTGAGTGTAGCTGAGTTTTTCAGCACGTTGTTTATGCAGTTTTTGTGGTAAAATTAGGTGCCTCAGCTGATACTCAGGTGGGCTTTTACTCAAGTATATACGGTATATGAAAATATAGAATTAAAAGTTCATGGACTTTTCCCCACAAGCTTTTTGAAGCCCCCTTTTTCAGAATCAAATATTCACCATCTGTAGCATTATGTATAACTGTCCAATTTCAAAATCAGAATGTCCATCAGAGAAGTATTCAAATTATGGTCTATCAACTACATAGAAGAACATGATATTTTTTAAAAAGGTTAAAGGCTATTTAATCATGCAGAAGAATCTTATGACCATATCAGTAACAGCAGCAAAATTTTATGCTTACCGATTTTAACTACTGTATATACTTGTGTATAAGCTGAGTTTTGCAGCACGTTTTTAATACAGTTTTGTGGTGCCTTGGCTGATATTTGGGTCAGCTTATGTTTGATTATATACGGTATGTAATAAAGACAAATAAATGTGTTAATATGATAAATATGTCAATATAGGAAAAACTATTTGCACTCACAATATCATATAATATTTAAAATTAATCATTAAAAATATAGTTCTAATTTATTTTACTACTAAGTGTCTGGGACAAATGTGCATTTGAAAGTGAATGTTACTTACCTAGTATTTAATTGCCTCTTTATCATTTCCAAAGTTACTGGTGGAAATGAAACAGAAGTATCAAACTTCTTCACTCTTTGAGATCCACTTCTGTGAGAAAGGTCTACTATATTTCTTCCCTAAAAAATAATAGGAAAACTTTTATTTTTCAAACACTTTCATTTCAGTTACAGTGTATTAACAGTATAAAAGCATAAAAGGAGACTGAGTACTTTTGGGTTCTTAGCAGTGCAAAAGCTCCACACCCAATACAACTTTTCACAAAACAAATGTTTCCAAAATCCTCAGTTTTAAGTTTAGAACTTTAAGTACACACATGAAGCACATAATAAAATCTTATTTTTTTTCACAAGTATTTAGTTTCAAAGTTTTTGAGCCAATTTTGTTTGCAGTCCAATGTTCTCATTCAGGTTTTGAAGAATCAGTGGTCCTTGGCAAATACTATCATGGGTGGTAATATTCTTTTTTTTTTAAATCATTTTATTAGGGGCTCATACGACTCTTATCATAATCCATACATACATCAATTGTGTAAAGCATATTGTACATTCATTGCCCTCATCATTCTCAAAACCTTTGCTCTCCATTTAAGCCCCCGGCATCAAGTCCTCATTTTTCCCCTCCTTCCCGGCTCCCCCCTCCCTCATGAGCCCTTGATAATTTATAAATTTTTATTTTGTCATATCTTGCCCTGTCCGACCTCTCCCTTCACCCACTTTTCTGTTGTCTGTCCCCCAGGGAAGAGGTCGCATGTAGATCCTTGTCATCGGTTCCCCCTTTTCAACCCTCTCTCCCTCTACGCTCCCAGTATCGTCACTCACACCACTGGTCCTGAAGGGGTCATGGGGGGTAATATTCTTGTTTGGCTAAACTAGGTGTCCTCAAACTGTGGCCCGCAGGCCATATGAGGCCCGCCGAGGGCATTTATCTGGCCCGCCAGGTGTTTTTGTCCTGTTGTTTATTTTACTTCAAAATAAGGTATGTGCAGTGTGCATGGGGATTTGTTCATAGTTTTTTTTTAAACTATAGTCCGGCCCTCCAACAGGTCAGAGGGACAGTGAACCTGGCCCCATTTAAAAATTTGAGGACCCCTGGGCTAAACCAACACTTATTTCCCAAAAGCTAAACACTCGTTTTTCAGGATAGAAGCAGCTGTACTTCCATTCGTACCAATGAAAACTAAGTGAAATTCTACTGGAGGGATAAAGCGTTTACTTTTATTGAAGCCATCGGTACCTGCGTTTTCTGCAAGAGGAACCTATTCCTAATATGTCCTATATATAACAAGTCATTTGGCTGGGGATCCCCATCGATTTGTAGTATTATTCTTGGCTAGTTAGAAATCGTAAGTAATAGATCAAAAACACATTTGAAAAAAAACACCTTAAACAAAAGGAAGAGAAGGAGAGAAGGATAAAAAAAGATAACATTCACTAAGGTTCATCAAATAGAATAATCCACTGACTCTAATGAATATTATGAAGTTCTGAGAAATTAGTTCATTTTAAGCATGTGAAAATGGGAATATGTTAAGCAAAGGTATCTGAATTAAAATTATACGCACCCCGTGAACGCAGAGGGTACTGTGAGATAGTTTACTGTTTTAGGGAAAGAAATACTCAGCATCTGTTGGACAATTAGCACTATTTAATCCAATGTTACAACGTTAATTGTACTGCATTCCTTTCAATGAACTCTTATTCCTGAAGCAAGAGTCTTGGCAAATGTCATAAAACAAGAACTCAATGAAAATCAACATACAGAAAATGAAGCTGCAGTACTCTATGTGAATCTATGACTTGAGAAGTCATGCAGCATTCAATAATTACACACATTATATTTGCAAGTAATTGTGGTTATTTAAAAATAAAACTTTAAGACTATCTAAATTTTTTTCTTTAACTTATCTGTATTATTTGAGCTACTAACTAGGTTGGTAGGGCATACTTTTATTAATTCCTTGGACCTGACTACTTAATGGCATAGTGCTAAGTGTTGGGCTACTAACCACAAGGCCAGCAGTTCTGAACCATCAGCTGCTCCATGGGAGAGAGATGAAGCTCTCTACTCCTGTAAGGAGCGACAGTCTCAGGAACCCACAGGGGCACTTCTACCCTGTCCTACAGGGTCTCTATGAGTCAGCATCAACCTAATGGCACTGTGTTTTTTGTTTAACTATTTAATAAACATAACTGCCTGGCAAGACTTCTGGGCTAGGAGGACTATGATAAAAATAGCAAGCTACTACGGGTCCATGAACAAGGAAGTTTGAGACTCTGATGTGAACAATTTGCTATACAAACCACAGAAAACTAATAGATATGGTATAAGAAAACTACTACCTCTATGATTTTAACTGCTTTCCTCATTTGTTGCTGTTCCCAAGCATCCTGATTTTCATCTTCCTGGCTGTCTTCACTTATATCTTCATTTCTGGTGGCTACCAAAATGAATCAAAACAAAAACTACAGGTATAAACATTAAGTAGTTTTTAATTCCATTACAGCAGGTAACATTAGGGGTTCAGCAGTAATTACAAGTATTAACTTATTTAACCTTAACAATAATCCTGGGTTGAATGCACTATTATTGCCCTCATTTATGAATAAGAATTCAGAAACTGAGGGGCTAAATAACTTCTCTAGGGTTGTGCAGAAGATGGGACTTGAATTCTGTCATAAGACTCCAGCACCTACTCTTATCACCAAACTCTCCATTCAAACCACTACAGCCTTAGCTATGGAAAGCAATTCAGAATGTAATAGTTGGCTTTGCTTCAAAGAACTTCCAAACCCTATGTGAGAATCCAAACATTTATAAATGAATTAATATTTTCTGGATTATAAGGAATCAAAATTCTCTCTGGAAAAATATTCTTTTGACTTATCAGTTTGGTAAAATGCATATTATATTAATTCCTGTAAAAGAGAATTATGTAAATAATGCTTTGAGATTTAAAAGACTGACAGAGGAAATATTTTTTAGTGAAGCAGGGAATTTTTAACACAATCCCTAAACACCTTTTAACACAAGCACCTGTAGTTGCTTTTATGTTAAAAGAACTGTTATAAGGTGATAATAATGGTTTTTGCATTTTCATAAATATGGCACATGATTTTGGTTTTGCTTTTTTAACTTGTCAAATAGTCAAGCAATGTTACACGTACTTACAGGCACAACCTTTAGAGGCCATAAACTCCCATCAACCAAAATAAAAAAATCAAAATCAACATAACTTTACAATAGGACATTGATCTATGCTTCTCAGGAAATTTTATCACAATATTGTACGCTAATGATAAATGTATGTGCTGATAGATAACTGTGTACCTATTTCCTCAGCCATTCTTTGTCGAAGCGTTTGAGGCTTTCGGGTAAATGGTATTCTTTCTTCATGGTCATCAGGCTCACTCTCAGGATCTTCGTCACTGTTGGTCTTTGTGCCAGAGAGGGTGGAAGTCTGTTTTACATCCAAAGAAATATAGTCTCCGTGGGCCCTGGCCAGCTCTCGTTTTCTGCGCGCTGCCTGAATGAAAGCGGCGTCTCGTATTCTAACTGAATGAAACAGAGAGGTCACTGAAAACAACATAACAGTTACATTAAGTAGTTCTTACATTTCTACAAAATCAAAAGGCACCACCTTTTCCTTTTTTTTAAACTATTTTGACACACACCTGTAATTTGATAAAAGGCACAAAATCTCAAATCATCAGTAAAGGAAGAAATGGAAATAATTTGATAGCAATTAAATAGATAAATGAATCAAATCTGAAATAATCAGAAAATATATTACAACAGTCCAATTTATCTTCTAACTCTTACAGCCATCAGGGATTACTACTGATTTTTTGTTGAAGGTCAGCCATGTTTCATCCCAGAAGCTCTCAAATGGCTAGGGTGAGGATGTGGAGATGGCTAAGCATGGAGCTTCTAACCTCCCGTACCATGGACTGCACCCCCTGTGGGCACTCACCAATACAGGGAGTGACAATCTCTAACCAGAGCACAGGCACGAAAGGCTCCACGGTCATGTGGTGAATCCCACAGAATAAATGTGAGTTTAGATGTTCAGTTTTTAGCTATTAGGCTATCTCTCTCTGAATTCTAAGGGCTGACAAACTTTTAGCCCATCTTTTTATTTTATTTGTAGTTACTTTTCAGTTGACATACATAATTTTGATACTTGAATAGAAAATATTAATAAATTACTCACCCGTACTTCACTAGAGTTTATGTCACTGAAAATGAGAACCCCTGGCATAGAAAATACTGATATTAGGGAAAACATTATTCAACAAAATCCAAAAATTACCAACCTGCTGGTGAAAATTCCTTTTCCTCTGGCGAGCTAGATGTGTTGGGAGATGAACTCTGATGCCCCTTACTTTCTGAGGATTGACACGTTCCATCTTCCTCATCAGCTGAGAGATCAATTGTTCTCGATTCTGCCAGGGCATTTTCCGAACCTAACAAGAAAGGGGGAAAATACTGGAATCAATGAGTGAAATTCTGAATACATGGCATATTTATAATATGGTTTTTAATTCTACTGTTCTAAGTTTATAAGTAGTGCTTCAAAACCCTAAAGACAAATAAAGATCAGATTTAGAGATACTGATAATAAAAGGCAATAATAGTAAGGTGGAAAAATCTAAGTCTTCACTTCCATCAGAAATAACTTATGATGGAGTTATCAGAATGAATCCTACATAATCTCTAAAAGTAAGCCAAACAGTTCATCTCTCTCAGACTTTTTTAAAACAATTAATTATCTAATAAATCTATAAAGACTCAATTTGTACTATCTACTTCTCTAAAAAAATGTATGCAAAGGAAGCAATGAGAAATCAGAACAAGAGGAAAAAGGAAAACCATAAAAATTTACAGACGATCTGAAACAGAAAAGAAAAATAATGGCAGTGAATAAGTAGAAAACCCTTGTTTCCCATGGATAATTACTCTGTGCCAAGCATAATGAAACCTGTCTCACATAGTTCATTTCATTTAATATAATTCTAAAGAGTAGACGCTAGTACAGATGAGGTCACTAAGAACTGGAAAAGCTATATATCATGCCCAAAGTCATAACATTAGCAATCAAAGAATCAAGGTTTTGAAACTAATTCCTCCCAATCTAGGCTCCATTATATTATACTGGATTCAATGCCTGCTGGCGATAAGTAATAAGCACTTTGATCTTGGGTCAAATCATGAGGTCATTTACCAGTTTCAGTTAACCTACTGATTAAAGTTAACATTAAAAGAGATGATATCCACAGGGTGCTTCAAAAAAGTAATGAGTAAAATGCAAAGTGATTTTTGGTAACATGAATAATAAAGGATTCTTTAGCCCACAATTATTTTTGCAATATTTACAAATAAGTTTAAATATAAGATTCCACAAATAATACTTTTTATCTTGAAAATATCCCTTAAATGGAAGACTTAATATATCATTTAAAATAACTCTGTAACTAAAGCAAGCTTAAGGAGGGAGGAATATACATTTCGGCTCACATCAAAGAGGTGGTTCTCAAAGGACCACTGAGACCCTTTCAGAGAGTCTGTGAAGTCAAAGCCTCTTCCATCATAACACTAACATACTCTATGCCCTTTCTCTGAAGCCCCGGTGTCTCGGCTGGGCAATGGTGGGACTGCTAACTGCAAAGCCGATGATTCAAAACCACCAACTGTTCAGTGGGACAAACATGAGTCAGTCTTCTTCCATAATGATTCCACAAAGCTTTGGAAACACTAGAGTGCAGTTTATTATGCTATAGTTTATATAAGGTAACAAAAACACAGTGGTGGATAACACTTCTAATCCCTTGCTAAGAATCAGGGCAGGGGCATCAAGCGGTAGTAGCAGGGTTTAGAATGTACACCATCATCACTGGGGGGCAGGGGGCGGGGGGAGCTGGGGGCATCTGCTTTTTTCTACTTTCATTGTGAGTTAGGTTTACATTCAACAATTCATACAAATTTTGTTTCAATGCATCCATTGCATTCTTTCATTGTACCATCACTTATCCCACTTCTCTGTATTTCCTGTTTTCATCCTTCCTTTCTATCAAACCTCTGTGCTTTGTCCTTTGGTAAATGCTGCCTTTTTAAAAAATCTTAAATGATTGGTTATTCTAACAGCAGCAAGTTCAGTGCAACTTGAAGAGTGACCAAGTCCCTATCCTACCAGTAAGCCTGGTCTCTTAAGGCTTTGCATTTTGTTCCATATTTTCCTTCCATTCCATTTAGGACTTCCTAACATGACACAACCCCCCTCCCCCCTTTTTATTTTGAGCAGTTGGTAGTGGTAGCTGGAACCACATCAGTCTCAGGGTTGTGGAGACTGATGTTTGCACAGTCCAATTGCCCAACTGATTGTTTCCACATGCCTTTCAATGTTCATTAGTCTTTACTCTGGAAAAGCAACGATCAAACAGATGTACTTTTAAGACTCCAGTTGCTGCGCATCTAAGAGTATGTACGTAGAACATTGTCTGTGGCACACACATATATTTTTAAAGAAATATTTTTCGGGGTCTTGGTTGAAAGTTCATACAAATTGCTTTTGCAACATTGGTTACAATTTTTATACTGTGTTAGCATTCTCATCATTTCCACTGTATGTTCTGTTTCCACTTATCTAGCTTCCCCTCCCCTCTTGGTCTTCTCATCTTTGCTTTTGGGTAAATAGTTAATCTCCTAAGAAAGCACATTACTGACGGGTGATATTAGGTATTTTATCAACTAATTTATTGTTTGCATGAAATGTTACCAGCATAAGCAGCTTTAATTACAAGTTCAAAGGGCATTTTGGGACATGCACTGTGGGGGTTTTTCCAGTCTCTCTAGCCAGTAGGCCCAGACTTTTGTAGGAATTTGAGTTTTATCTTACATTTTTCTTCCATTCTTTTAGCGACCTCCTATTGCGTCCCTGGATAAAGTAGCAGGTAGTGATAACGAGGCACCATCTAGTTCTAGTTTCAGGTTAGAGAGGCTAGGTCTCCTGTGCGCTATTAGTTCTGCCGACTGATTTCTTCTTTCAGCCTTTTATTTCCTTCATTCTCTTTGCTCTACTAAAGTAGACACCAATCGCGGTAGCTTAGATGGTTGCTCACAAGCTTTTAAGACCCCACATTAGGATGTAGAATTTTATCTTTGTGAGCTGTTACGCTTATTGACTAAGTTGTTCCCCAAGACTATGGTCCTAAGTCTTTGACCCAATCCTCCAATTCCATGAGTTGTGTAGAAAGGTCAAGGAACTCTAACTGTAGCACGCTCTGTACACACTCATGTTTCCTTAAGTGAGTGGTTCTCAACCTTCAGGACCCTTTCATATAGTTCTTCATGTTGTGGTGACCCTCCAACCATACATTTTTTTTCGTTGCTACTTCATCACTGTAATTTTGCTACTGTTATGAATCAGGCGACCCCTGTGAAAGGGTCTTTCAACCCCCAAAGGGATTGTGACCCACAGGTTGAGAACTGCTGCCTTAAGTCTTTGATTACATCCTTAAGTTTCTTTCCTCCAGAAAGGAGAGACCAATAGTTACATTTTAAATGGCTGCTTGCCACAATACAATTCTATTCACCACAGCAGAATATACCACACTGTCTTTGTGAACATTACTTCAATTTGCATATATTCTTAACTTTTTATCATAGTGGGACCATAAAATATTTATATTTTTTATGATTATCTGACTTCATTCACTACCATGTTCTCTGTATTTATCAACGCTGTTTAACATCATTCTTTATAACCAACCAAAAACTCACTGCTATTGAATTGCTTCTGACTCCTAACAACCCTGTAGGACAGAGCACAGAGCACCCTGTGGTTTTCCGAGCCTGCAAATCTTCACAGGAGCACAAAGCCTCATCGATCTCATGGAGCAGCTTATTGTTTCAAACACCGACCTTGTTAGCTGTTCAATTCAAAACCCACGGCCCCTCCCCTGGGGCTCCTTTATTCTTGATAGTTAGTTGTGTAGTATTTCACTGAATGTTTACAACACAATTTGTTTATATATTCATCCACTGACAGGTACTTAGAATGTCTCCATCTTTTGCTCATTTGTGCACACGTCTATATTGTTCACTGTTTGTACACCTCTGGGGTATTATGCCTGGGAGTGGGACTGCAGGACCGAGAGGATTTTTCTCTATTTCTTTGCTTCTTGACAAACTACCATTCTGTTTTCTATAATGAGACCATTTTATGATCTCAGCAGTGTATGAGAGTGCCAAGGCAACCCCAACCTCACTAGCACTTTTTGTTATCACTTCCATTTTGTAGAAGCGACATGGATCTAACTGTAACTTGATTTCCATTCCTCTATGGCCACACTGATCTGCTAACAGAAAGGTCAGGGATTCACATCCACAAGCCACTCTGTGAAAGAAAGATGTGGCCCACTGCTTTTGGAAAGATACAACCTTGGACATGCTCTGGAGCAGTTCTACTTTGTACCATACACAGGGCTGCTATGAGTTGGAATGGAGTTGACCGCAAAGATCATGATCATTTGTTTATGTATCTGCTGGCCACCTCTGTTCTCTTTGGTTAAGTGTCTGTCTGTTCATGCCCTTTGCCGCTGTTTTGATTATATTGTCTTGTATATTTTGAATTAATGAAGTTTACTGACTGCACTTTTATTAGCTATGTCATTACTAAAAGTTTTCCACTCCCCGCTCTGTAGAAGTTCTTTTTTTAACTTTCTTAGTGACTTCTTTATTTTTATTTATTTATTCTCAGTAAAGTTTCCAGATGATGCCCACCTACCACTATCAAATGTTCTCATCAGGCAAACACTAGATGAATGCTGACAGAAAAGTGGGGGGGGGAGGGGGGAGGAAGAGAACTCCAAATTCTCACAAACTCTGACTTATAGGACTCATTGAGATTAGACAAGTTCCCAAGACTATTGCCCGGATGAAATTACCTTTTAATTAAACAGAAAGTTAGCACAAAAAGTTAAAAAGAAAAAGAAATCACACTTGAGAATGTTAATAAAAAACAAATCACCCTGAGAATGGTAGCTAAATTTTTTTTTAAGTTATCCAAATGACACCAAATGAACAACAGACACAATGAAGCATAAATTAACTCTTTTTTTAGGGGGGGGTGTGCAGTGGCAGTGAGAATAAATTAATGAACGTGGAACAACTAGAATAAAAAGAATGAGAATAGCGACACAAACTACAAAATGTAACAAATACACTGCATGTTATATAGAGAAGTTGCTGACTAGAAGTCTGTTTTGCTATGTACACTTTCAACCCCCAAATAATTTTTTAAAGTTACTTATTCTTATGTGTAACATGATTAAAGTTTTAAAAAAATGGATTACTAAACATGTCTGTTTTATTCTTAAATATCATAAGTATCAACAAATACAATCTACAAAAACAAAATTTCATTGGAGTTCTCAATCACTGTAAAGAGTCTAGTTAGCTACTAGGTCTGTGGTTCAAACCCTCCATATGGTAGAAAGTCTCAGAAACCCTCTATAGCAGTGGTTCTCAACCTGTGGGTTGTGACCCCTTTGGGGGGTCTAACGACCCTTTCACAGGGATCACCCAATTCGTAACAGTAGCAAAATTACAGTTATGATGTAGTAACAAAAATAATTTTATGGTTGGGGGGGTCACTAAAACATGAGGAACTGTATTAAAGGGTCACGGCATTAGGAAGGTTGAGAACCACTGCTCTCTCTATTGAGTTGTTTTGAGTCAACGGCAGTAGGTTAATGGTTGGCTGCTAACAGAGAAGTGCCAATTCAAAACCAATATCCACTCTGTAGGAGAGAGACGAGCCAGTTGGCTTCTATAGAAAGATTCCAAACTCACTTTCATCAAATCCCTTCCAACTTAAGGGCAGAGTAGAACTGCTTCTGAGGGTTTTTCAGATTATAAATCTTTACAGGGGTACAAAGTCTCATCTTTCTTCCATGAAGTGGCTGGTGGGTTCAAACTGCTGATCTTGGGGTTAGGTGCTCAACATGTAACCTATTGTGTCACTAGGGAAACTGCCCTATGAGGCAGTTCTAGTCAGCCCTATAGGGTCTCATATTTAACCTAATTATTGATTATGCTATTAGGAAAGGTGTGTCAGGATTGTATCTTCTCACTTTACTTTTCAATCTCCAGCTGAGCAAATAATCAGTGAAGTCGGCTAATATGAAGAACGCAGTATCAGGGTTGGAGGAAGGTTTATTAACAACCTGTGATATGCAGATGACACAACCTTGCTTGCTGAAAGTTAGAAGTTTGGAGAACTTAAAGCACTTGGTGAAGAAAATCAAGAATTGTAGCCTTCAGGATGGATTACTACTCAACAAAAAGGTCAAAATCAGCAGAACTGGACCATCAGGTAACATCATGAAAATGGAGAACAGTTTGAAGTTGTCGAGGATTTTCTTGCTTGGATCCACAATCAATGCTCATGTTGGAAGCACTCAGATCAAAACAGTGTTGCACTAGGTAACTCTGCTGCACAAGACCTCTCTGGAGGATTGAATAGCAAGGGTGTTACTTTGAGGACTAAGGAGTGCTGGACCCAAGCCATGGGATTTTCAATTGTCTCATATGCATGAGGAAGTTCAAACTCACAGCCATTGAGTTGACAGGACTCACAGAGACCCATCAGCTGCCCTATATGGAAAGTACCATGGACTGCTAACAGGACAAACATCTGTCTTAAAAGAAGGGCAACCAAGAGGCAACTTTTGGACACGCTGTCAGGAGAGACCAGCCCCAGGAGAAGGTGATTTTTGGTCAATTAGAGGGGCAGCAGTGTAGAGGAAAGCCCTCAAGGAGATGGAACGACACCCCGGCTGCAACAAAGGGTTCAAGCATGGGAACCCTTGTGAGGCTGGCGCAGGACCAGGCAGTGTGTTGTGCAGAGGTCTGCTATGGATCAGAACTGACCCGATGACACTTAGCGACAACATCTAGTGGCACGCCTATTTTGCATCTAAGAGTTTGATAACTGATGAAAAAAGGAGAACAGGCAAAAGAGAATTCCCCCAACCCTATCATTTAAGATTCTTCTAATGTACTATTCCGGCTAAATGCTTGCTATAACGAAAGGTCAACTCTTTTAATCGACAAGTTTTCAAAAAGTACATGTACATAAAACTTTGCAGCTTACTAAGGCGTACTCGTTAGTGATTTGGGTTCGTTATAAACGAACTATCGCTGCAACAGATGACAGCCCTTCGGAGATGCAGAGGGGCTACCCCCCTGCACAGGGTCCCTTTTACTGCCCAAGTTAATAAAAATGGGGTTGGGGGTGGGAGACAAACGTTCCAAAGTGCAGCCAGGGTTCACCCGCGGAGCACTTCTCGTCCCGCCCTCCGAGTCACCTGCGGGGCCCTCCCCGCTTCCGGGGTCACCTGTGTCGCCAGAGTCGCTGTCTGTGCTGGGCGCTGCTGCGGCGGGCCGCCGGGAACTCGCCCAGACTAGGCCCCGAGGGCGCCGGTCCCTGAGCGGCCGTTTCGCCGCCTCTGCAGGTGGACCCTGCTCCCCTCGCGCCCCGGGCTCGCTAGACGATTCCTCGCCGCCGTCGCTGTCACTGGAATCGGCTCGGCGCGGCCGGAACACCCTTTTCGGTCTGTGAGCCATGGCACAGGGCCTGGCACCTCGTTGGTGGTCTCCTCTCCCAAAGTCCAACCTGAGCCTTAGATGCCGGCGCGCGCTTCCGCCCTGCCGCCGCCGTGCGCGTCGCTCTGCGTGACGTAGACTCAGTCGGCCTCCGGGTCCTCAGCCGTGCGCATGCGCGCTTCACTCCCCTGGCTCTAATTGGCTGTCCAGTTCCCTGGGGCGGGCCGGGAGCATGCCCCGCCCTCAAAGTGACGTGCTGAGTTCGTACGCTCTCTGTGCTTTCTCTGTAAACACTGGCTCGGTAAGGCGCTATGCATGATCAATTATTCATAAATTTTCATTTGTTTTTGTAATGAGACTTTCCCTTTTTAAAATCCCGATGAATTTTAGGACATTGCCTGATAGGTTTTTTGATTGGGATATTACAATGTGCTGTGAAAACTATACTGGTAGAAAGTAGAGAATCTTGAGATATTTAGAAAACACCTTCCCACCGTGGACCAAGTTCACTTGGTAGCTAGAAAGAACTACCCAAACTAAGCCATGGAAAGGGGGGGGGGGACGCAAAAGAGTGATCCCTCAGGACCTGGGCTTTTCAGTCAACTCAGAATGCCCAAGTTCTATGATGATTGCCTTCAAAATCACCATACAAAAATAATAAATTACTTTAAGATGAAAATTAGGAAGATGGGCATACGGTAATAATAACTAGAGGGGGAGTCTTTGTACGTCTGTGCACCACATAATGTAATGGTCATATAGTATGTAAGTCAATCAATATGTATTAAGCACCTAGCAGTCCAGGCACCAATGCTAAATCCCAGACCAGTGCTCTTCGAGTCTAATTTCCTGCTGTCATCAAGTGGATACCGACTCAGCAACCCTGGATAAGGTTTCTGAGGCTGTAAATCTCTACAGCAGCAGACAGACTCACACATCTCTTTGGCAGTGAATGCTAGGTTTGAGCCACAGGTATTGCTGGTTTACAGCCCATTGCACTCAGCAGAACAGAACCAATAGGGCTCCTTTCTTGAAGTGTAATGTTCGCCAAATCACTTGCAGATCACATGGATGGGGCTACATTCTAAGTACCAAGGTCTTAGAGCCAAGACAACATAAATCAGTCACCTTTAAGACATTGGGTGGTGGTGGTTGTTTAAGTATGTCTAGTAATTTTGTTATGATGACCTTCACACCGATTGTTTCAATATCCAGATGCCTTTGTGTATCTTCTAATCTGGAAACTCAATAATCCTCATGAGGAAAACATATAGCCTATCTATAAGGATTTAGTTTGTATAATTGTAGAAATGATTTAACATAATGGGATAAGTGTCCACGCCTTGTTCAGAGGGTTCTCCACCAGTCTTTAAAATTGTGCTAGGTGTTTGTCTCCACTGGAAAGGTGGACAAACCCACTGCCATCATGTTGTTAGGTGCCGTACAGTTACCTTTCAATCAGCAGTTCAACTTTTACTGGACAACAACCCCAAGGCTCCTTGAGGGTTGTGGACAGATGAAATCAATGTGACAGCTTCTCAATAGGCATGGCAATGTCCATCCCAAGTAGTTTTTGTTCTTATTGGAATGGCGAGGTCCTTACCATCTTTCTGCCCTCACTCAACCAGAATTGACTAGCCTGATGTGAAATGCCACAGACCAGCATGGGCTGTAAGCTGGAATCTGTGCAGAATCAGATCAGGAGAAGATACGGGGAAAGAGCCCTGGAAATAGAACCCTGTAGATAACACTCCCTTATTGTGTTAGTCTGGGCAGACTGGAGAAACAAATCCACAGAAACTCATATGTATAGAAGAGAGAGTTTTATATAAAGGGTAAGTGTACATTAAGAAAACATCCCAACCCAGTGCTGTCCAAGCCCATAAGTCCCACATTAGCCCATATGTCCGACACCAATCTACAAAGTCCTCAATCTCACAAAACACATGCAATGATGCAGA